AGCATGAATATCACTGCCTAGTACATTAGAGGTGCCAGATAATAAATTAAAATATGAAAAAGGAACAAAAGGTGTATATACTTATTGTTTTAGAAGTGATCATTTACATTGACAATCACAAAAGAACAAAAGAACAAGCCATCAGAACTATCACAAGTTAGCACTGTCTGGATGGAAATTTCAGGGGCAAAAGTCAATAGCTTTCCTAAACTATTAGAAAGTATAAAAGGAAAATAGATTTGATTCACAGAAAAGACAAAACTACAAATTGCCTATAGGGGAAAGCCTAGCAAGAATGAACATTGTAGAGAAAGAAAAATTATAAAACTTCCTGAGGCTATAAAAGACCTGAATAGAGACAGACCATGTTTTGTTTTTTTTTTTTTTTTTTTTTTTTTTTTTTTTTTTTTACTAAAAATAATATGATACATAGGCTGACTTTTCCTATATTAAACTATTAATTCACTATAACATCATTCAAAATCCTAATCGAGGGTTTTATTGAACACAGAAATTTATTCTGTGGTTTACCTAGAATTATGAATCTGCTTGAATGACCAAGGACATTTTATAGCAAAGATTAATGAGTGATGATGGATTATCAAAATACAAAATTATGCCATTAAGTGGTGAAGGCATGATGGACAAATAGATACAAAGATCAACAGAACAGAACAGAGCTATATGAAAATTTCGTATTTTTGCTGTATGCCTAAAATCCTAGCACTCTGGGAAGCTAAGGCACAAGAATTCCAAGTTTCAACCCAACCCAGACAACTTAATGAGACCCTGTCTCAAAATAAAAACTAAAACTGGGCTAAGGATGTAGCTGCCCAGTGCTAAGGTTCTAAATTCAATCCAAGTACCACACACACACAAACAAATTGCATTTAATGAAACAGCATTTCAATTAATTGGGGAAAAGATAAACTATTTGATAAATAGATGTAGGACAACTATCCATTTTTGGAAAGAGGTAGATTCCTATTTCCCACTGGCCTTGTTATCTTTGCTTTGCTCCTTTAGATAGCTGCTCACCATTTTGCATCCCAGTCTTTGCCTGAGTGGACGCTCTACATGGACGGTATCATGGGTACCACAAACATCATGGGTGGGGCCAGGCCAAAGGGGAGAAGCCATGGGAAGCAGTGAAGGGAGGGGATTGGGGTCCTCAAGCTTCCCTAAGCCTACTGTTCCTACTGCTGTAATTGGCTCCGGGAAGGGAGTGGTCTTCACCCCATCCTCTCCGTTCCTCTTGGGTGATACACAGCACCCTCATTGTTAATTCACCCACTGTATTGCCACTTCATTTTGAACATGCCATCCATTTCCTGTTGTGGCTTACTGATACCATGTCATTTGCAAAATTAAATTCTAGGAAGATTAAAGACCATAGATTTCTTTTTTAAAGCTTAAAAAGTTATACTCTTGCATGTAGATAATTTTTGATCCACATTCAAAATAAAAATTCACACAGCAAAAGATGTATACATTTGGTTAAATCAAAACTTCAAACTTTTGGATGATTAGATACTCATGAACAAAGTTATTCAAAAGGTAGAAAGAAATTTTGAAATTTAGAATAAAATGTTATTCTAAGACTACATAAATGAATTTTAAATATGAACTGTTTTTAAATAAATTGATATATTTTATAAGTTTAAATGTGTATAAAGTACATTACATATTTAAATATATATCAATATTTATATATTTTTAAAATATAAAATCAATTTTAAAAGGAAACATTAGAAAAATGGAGAATAGTATTAACAGGTCATTCGTCGAGGGAGTAATACGAATGAAATAAATACTATGATTAATATTATACTAGTAATTGGGAAATGTAAGTAAACATAAGATAACCATTTTAAACTATCAGATGGTAGATTGTTAACACAAAGTGCTGTTGAATCAGGAAGCACTGCAGGCTTTCTGTTTGTAGCTAGGGAGAGTGTTTAAATTGGCAAACCTTTCAAAAGAAAATTTAATGGTGGTCATTAAAATAACAAATATGTGTCCCTTATGATCCCTTTTTTTGGGCATCTACCATGGATAAAGCTTGCATATTTGCTCAAAGAGGAGTAAACTAGAATGTTCATCACAGCACTATTTTTAATAGTAAAAACTAGAAACAGTTTAATTGTCCATCAACTGTGGAACACAACATTCATAATATAGATTATATTCAATAGCTTGAAAAACCCAGGTAAATTTATATATATTGATCTGGACAAACCTCTAAAATGTTTTACTGAGTGAGAGACTGTTCAAGTTTGGGACATGATATAAACCACAATACTATGCACAATCTTAAATTCCTACAAAATGAAACCATTTTAATATTTCTAATTATGAATATAAATGCATGGATAAAAGTTTAAAGTATATAGCACACATGGGTATCTATTACTGCTTTCGTATACAGGAAACTGGGATTTATTGGAGAAGTTATCAGGGATTTTTTTTTCTTTTACTTTTTCTGTATCCTACATTTTTCTATATTTCACTGTTTTTTGCATTTGACATTTTACAATGTGAATGTATTTATTTTATTTGTAAAATCATTATTCTTTTAAGGCCAGTAGTAGTTTCTATATAATCCCTTCAGAAAAAATAAAGGACAAAGACTTTAATTTAATTGTATGTGTAACTTCAAGTATCTGCCTAATTCCCTGGGTCTGTCTCCTCCACGTAAAATGGAGTAGTTTGGTGTGAAACTCAGATTATTAGTCAAAAGTCAGTTAGATAGGCAGTTGAGTCCTGGTACACAGAAAGTATTGGCTAATTGTTTTTCTCTCTCTCCCATTTGACCTGTGAGAACCCCAGGGCTAAAAATATACTTAGGCTGGTGGATACGCCAGATGCCTGGGAAAATGGAAGCTCAGTTTCATCTGTTGAATGAGTGAATGAACAAGTCACACATGTTAATTGTTAATGGATAAGTATATGTTCACATATGTTGATCATTAGTGGGTAAACACAAGATGCCTTTCTGGATTCTACCAGGGAGACCAAATTATTTTGGCTTGGAAGAATAATAAATCAAAGCAAACCAGAGATGCGGGTTAGGTTGCAAAGTAGCTAGAGCCCCACACATGGTGGATGGTTGGTCTACTGTGGGCTAAAGGGTTAGGGTACTGGGGAGCCAAACCCAATCTCCGGGCCGAGAGACTGAATATACTAATAGGCAGTGGCCAGGCTTCAAGCTTCTGCAGAAATCAGCCCAGGACATCAGGAATTGGTCAACGACTTCCAACTTTTCTATTTTTGTCCCATTGCTTTCAGCTCAGGGAAGTCAAATATGTCTTTCATATTCATCACAGAAAACGTGCCACCTCTACTTAGTCTGCTTCCAGCTTCCCTGTGCCAACAACTTCCCATCAGCACAGACCAAAAGCTTTCCCTTTTTGTCGCCTACAAGGCTTTCCCATTCCTCTTCACGCGAAGTGCCAGAGATTGTAGAAAGCTTCTTGGCTGTATAGCAAGCTCTGGATACACAGCTTCTGTTACCAGTGGTCATTGTTCATTTCCCAAGACCTTCTTCAGCATTGTAACCAGATATCAGATGCATATTTAATGTTGTAGTTTACTTATAAGATTTCACAAAAAAAGATTCTATTTTTTAAAAGGAAAATCAGCAACATAGATTAATGCCAAGAATCAAAGTTTGCAAAGCATCTGAAGAAAGATGCTCAGCTTGCAATAAACTAGGAAAGACATGAATGCTATTCAGACAGATGGCAGCAGAGGGGAGGCCAGACAAAAAACAGAGCAGAGTCTGGGCAATGGACAGACACTTCCAGAGACCTTTGTGTGGCTTTATTCTGTGCAGTTTCTACAAAGTCCAGGACTGGACCGCCATGGTGGGAGGCTCTCTTGTCAGCATCTCCACAGGGGTGAGCTAGATTAATCACAGTTGTAAGTGTGTTGAGATGTCTGTATTTGGCAAATAAACCGAATACACAGATAAGGCCTTAGGGTATTCAAAGAAGGTCCCAGATCTCACTTCCTCAAAGAAATGACTTATTGGATGCTAGGATTGGAGCTCTGTCATCTAATCATGATTATGTGGTTGTTTGAGAACCTAAAATTCTCAGCATCACTCCCTACAGGTCTTTAAATCTACTTAAAATACATTATGGCTTCTTTCCCAATCTGATGAATGTTAATCGATGTCACTACGAAAAGAAAAGGAGATTTACAGTCAAATTACTTTTGGGAGATGTAGGTGAAATCAAGTTAAACTGATTTTTTTTTTTTGTTAAGACTTTGTAAAACATTCAATACACTAACACATGTCAGGAATGTGCCAGAAAGGGGATCCAGTATCTAATATTCAATACATTTATTTGACCAAAGAAATTGTTTTCCTCCTTATCCATTTATATCTGGCACAACATTTTGCAGCAGCAAATGGTAGAGACATGGGTTTGGGACAATGTTACCTTTCAGAGGTTTGTGTGGTCAACTTCTTGTCACCTATTGTAACTCACTAAGAGTAGGGAGGTCAGATGGCAAGTAGCAATAGAGGTCAACCTTGATGGCCAGGAAAAAGGTAGGGTCATCAAGTAGAGCTCCTGGATAAGAAAGGTTACATTTGGGTCTCATGGCGGCTTAAGAACAGAGGAAGGTTTCTGGGTGTTGGAGATCCTGAGTAATGCAAAAATGTTACTTCTGGTGGAGAAGTTAAAGAATATTTATAGTTGGTAATTTCTCTCAACTAGCCCTGACACACTATTGCTAGCAAGATAGAGGGTGGCCAGGAGAGCCAGCCTTCTGGATATAAGTAAATTCAGGCAAATGATACCTTATGTGGCATTCTACCAGTGGTGGCCCATGGTGCCATTTTGGAACAGAGGTAAAGGAAGGCAAAGGGATGATGCCACTTGTGTAATGCCCTAGTAAAGCCATATTTATTTTTGCAACCACACCGTGAAGCCTTTGATAAACTTCAGGGAAGGAGCGGAAACGTGCTGCAAGGAGCTTCATTCACTTACTTTAGGATCACACAGCCGGTTCCTGCTGGCGGCGCTATCCAAAACACCTGGATCCGTGTCCTCCTCCGGGGGGTGCTCTCTGTGACTGCCACGGGACAGTTACTCATAAATTGGGTTTCTTCTTCATCTATGATCTATGAAAAATCAGAGGAAGATAAACACGTTAAAACACAATGTCACTTGGAGAGGGCTCCTGTTTCTGGATTGACACTTCCTTAATTTTATTTTTAAACTTGTCATTTTGCATTAGCAGCTCTATCTCCCAGGCCCCAGAATAGTCTCTGGCAGAGGTTCCCAGTCAACGTTCGTTGAATTAACATAATGTGAGCACAAGGACTGAGCACGACTGCTCCTGGGAGCGATCTTGTCAGTACTTTGAGGGACTGACCACTAGGTGATGATCTTGGTCATCTCAGCAGAATCAATGTGTTCCGCTTCACGGAGGAGGATGGAGGGACACGCAAAAGCAAACCCTATGTAGCTGGAACTTATTCCATTACAATTTGATAGCTTTAAATTCAAACATGAAAAGAAAACACCCCTTTGGAGGAAGTGTAGCAAAGGGTCAAGTCTCCCAGCTTGATAGCAGTTTTTATTTGTCTAGTGTCTACTTACCAGGAATTACATTTACAAATGCATAGTTTCCCAAATTAGCCATCATCACTTTCTAGGTTGCTCCAAACAGTACGAAAGCCTTTCCCATCCTCCAAGGTGTTTTTGTCTCTTCTGCCTTAATGCATAGGGGTCTTCTGGGGAAAGCTCTTTATATTGCATTGTTTTAAAGGTCAACTCTAGTTGATTTGTACTGGTCATGCCGTGAGGAGCATGAACAGAAAAAGCTTGTGTTTACTACAGCGTGTGCTAGGCATGAAGCTAAGCGCTTCCCCTGGACTACTAGTTTTACTTTTTACTTGTAAAATTCCTTTTAGTCTTACAAGAGCAAAGAAGAACCAAGTCACTCAAGTTTATCATATAGTTTCTTCACTGGACAAAGCAAAGGCCATTTTTGATTAATTTTCTCTATTGTGTTATACTAATCTCATTTTTCTCTAGTAACCCACATGTAAATATTCCACATGTAAATATTCCACATGTAAATTAGTCCTTATAAATTTATGTATATAGTTAAACATATATAATTATCTTAATATTTCACTCAACCACTTGTAGTAACAAGTGAAGATAATCTGTTGTTTTACTGCTACCTAGATTTCTATAACATGCATAGACCATGTTTTGAATATTTCTCCCAGTGAGGGGCATGTGGCTGTCTTTCAGCAATTTGTCTCCACAAACATTGCTACAGTGAAGAGCCTCATGCTGCTGAACTTGTGATCAGAGTTCCTCAGCAATACACACTATGCAGGAGGTCTGCTGAGTTGTTTGGTTATGGACACAGTCATGTTAATTTCACTGAACATTGCCAGGTTACTCTGCAGAATGGCTATACGCTATTGTACAAATGTTCCCAGGTTCCCCATATCCTTAACAGTACTTGTTATTACTGAACTTTCTAATGGTTTCTTGTCTGACGGTTACAAAGTAGTCACTTTTTGTTTTAAAACTAATGCAACAAATTTGAGCATCTTTTAATAAACTTTCCCTCTATGAATTACCTATGCCTCATTGTTGCCAGTGGATTTTCCAGTCCTCTTGCTGATTTTTAGAATTTTCTAGCTACAAATACCTCCTTATTTATGAATATCTTCTTAGCCATTACAATAGCTTTTGTCACCAAGAGATTTATCCTTGCAATTCTTTACATGACAGAAATATTTTTTATCTATCCAAATTCACCAGTTCCTCTCCCATCACTGTTTCATTGGAGATCTTGCCTACAAAGTTTCCATGTATCTTTTGTGTCTACATTTGCAGTCTCTCCCTCATGGACATCCCCCCTGAGGGATACATGTGTTACACTAGCACATCATTATCACTGAAGTCCATAGCCTACAGGGAGCTTCACTCTCAGTGTGCATTCTGTGGGCCTTGATAGATGTATCATGACTATTTATTTCCATTGAGGTACCATGCAGAATAGTTACATTGCCCTAAAAATTCTCTGTGTTTGTCTGCTCATCCCTCTCCCTTTCACGCCCTCTGATAACCCTCCCTCTTTTTATTATCTCTGTAGCATGGCCTTTTCCAGAATGCCATTTGGTTGCACTCAGCTGGTGTATAAATTTGCCAAAGGACATGCTTCTTTTACTTAGTCATACACATTTTTAAGTTTCCTCCATGTATTTTCATGACTTGATGGTTGTTTCCTTTTAGTGCTGAATAACACCCCTTTGTCTGGATGCACCAGTAAGTTTATTCACCAACTTACTGAAAGGCATCTTGATTGCTTCCAAGTTTTGCCGATTATAACCACAGGTTTTGTAAGGACGTGAAGTTCTCATTCAGTCGGATATTACCAAGGAGCACAAAGCCTAGATCATATGGTAAGAATACGCTTAGATTTGCAAGGAGGCAGCAGGCATCTTGCATTTCCACCAGCAGGAATGAGGCCTCCTACTGTTCACTTTTTCATCTGCTTCCAGCGTTGTCATGTCTTGGGTTTTGGCCACTTTTATAGGTACGTGGTGGTTCCTTGTTATTGCTTCAGTTTCCAATTCCCTAATGACACCTTTGAATGCCTTTGTAGATACTTATTTGCCACTTGTATACATTCTTTGGTGAGATGTCTGTCCAGGCCTTTTGCTCAATTTTTAAATTGATTGTTCACTTTATTATTGCATTTTAATAGTTTTATTCTGGACAACAGTCTTTATCAGATATATCTTTTGCAAATGTTTTCTCCTAGTTTTTTGACTTCTCATTCTCTTCGTAGTATCTTTCACAGACTTTAAAAATTTTAATTAAGTCCAAATTATCAGCTTTTTTTGAGGCATGGTCTTGCTATATACTGTGGGCTTTTAACTCACTATGTACTCAGGCTAGCTCTGAATTTGCAGGGATTCTCCTGCCTCTGCCTCCTGAGTTCTGAGGTTACAGGTATGCACCACCATGCTCAGCTTTATTTTCCTAATCAATTATTTCTTTCATAGATTTGCCTTTGGTATTTTGTTTAAAAAGTCACCACTGTATCCAATGTCATTTAATTTTCTTTGTCATTTAGTTTTCTTTGATGTAATCTAAGAATTTTACCCATTTGCATTTTACATGCAGGTCTGTGATCCATTTGAGTTCATTTTTTGTGAAGAATGTAAGGTCTGGGGCAAGACCTTTTTCCTGCCGGTGGGCATACATTTGTTCCAGCATCTTTTGTTTAAAAGACCGTCTCTGACCTGTTGTTTGTTTTCATTCCTTTGTGAAGATCAGTGGGCTACCTTTATATGGGTCTACTTTGAGGATCCCTTCTAGTCTTTTCGTTTCATTGGCTGCTCTGTCACAATACTGTGCTGTAATTGCTCCACTTCCTAGGAGGTCCTAAGGTCTTATGCTACCTGGTCACGGCATAGAACTTTTTTAAACAATGGATTCAATTTGCTATTTTGAGAATTTTTACATCTATGTTCTTGAGAAATTCTGGCCTATAGCTTTCTTTTCTTGTGATATCTTCATCTGTTTTTGGTGTTTGGGTAATGCTGCTCTCAGAACAAGATAGGAAGTAGCCTTTCTGCTTTTTTCTTCTGAAAGAGCTTGTAGAGAATTGATATAATTTCTTCCGTAAGCATTTGATAAAATCCCCCCGTGAGTACATGTAGGCCTGATATTTTCAGTTTGGGGTGGTGGTGGGGGGGTTTGTTTTGTTTTTGGTGTTGTGCTGGGGATTGAATTCAAGGGCTTGTATACAGTAGGCAGGCATTCATTCTACTGCTGAGCTGAAGCCCCAGCCCCTGTTTTGGGAAATAAATTTGATTTAAAGCTACAAATCTATGTCGAGTCCCCTTTCTTCCTGCATTGAGTATGGTAGTTACATCTTTTCAGGAATTGGTCCATTTCATCCAGGTTATCAAATGTATAGTTATTCATCATATTCTTTTATTGTCCTTTTAATTGCCAAAGAATCTACAATGATGCCCCTTCTTTAATTTCTGATTTACTAATTTGTGTCTTTTCTTTCTCAGCCTGGCTAGAAGCTCACCAGTTATAAATATTTTCAAAGAACCAGATTTTGGTTTTGATTTTTTAATTTGATTTTGATTTTCTGTTTTTCAATTTTACTGATTTTTTTACTGTTTTTAATTTTTTTCTGTTATGGATTTTATTTTTCATCTTCCTAAGGTAGAAGCCTGGATTATGATATATATATTTCATTTCAATCGATGCTATAAATTTCTCTTCAAGCTCTGTTTCTGTTGCATGCCACAAATTTTGATAAGCTGTCTTTTCGTGTTCACTAAGTTCAAGTATTTTCAGTTTTCTCTTGGGCTTTCTTCCTTTAACCATGTGTTCCTTAGGAGTTATTTAATTTCTAAGTACCTGAGGATTTTTCCAGCTAGCTTTCTCTTACTGACTTCGAGTTTAATTCCACTGTGGTCTGCGAGCAGGCACTAGATGATGTCTATTCTTCTAAACTTGTGAAAGACAGTTTTAGGGCTTGGGATGTGATCTATCTTGGGGAACGGTCCATGTGAGCCTGGGAGGAATGTGTGATCTACGCTGTTCATGAAGTCGTCCACAGATGTCAGTCACAATCAGGTGATTGATGGCATTGTTGAGTTCATGTGGGGTTTACCCCTGTCCTGTTTTTGCCTGCCAAATCTCTTTATTCGTTTATAAGAGAGGAGTGTTGAAGTCTCCAACTACATTAGGGGCTTATCCCCTGCTCCTTGCATTTCTCAGTTTTTGTGTTGTTGGCATTCTTTGGTCAGGAACATACACATTAAAGACTGCTATGTTTTCTTAGAGGAACTGATCTTTAATCACTATGTATTTCCCTTTTTCCCTATGAAATCTCTGCTCTATTTTTTAAAATTTTATTTAAAGAAAGTCTAAACAAAACAGAAAATGGATAGAAATAATACATATGTTCAGAGAAAAAATAAACAGTAAGAAATCACTAGTTGATGTTTTTATACTGTTCTTTTACAAATAGTTGTTCAAGATACAAAACTGGAACATGTAAATTGGGAATTGAAACAGCGAGACTACAACCAGTTCTGTTCAACTATCCAACAAAAACTTA